AACATCTCTCAAGAAGTGATACTTAATATCGATGTGCTTAGTGCGATTGTGTTGAACTGGATTTTTAGCCATCGCAATAGCTGACTTGTTATCGCAAAAGATCTCTGCCGCAGAGGTTTGCGATTCTCGCATATCTTCTAATATTCTTTTAAGCCATATAGCTTGGCACGCTGCTCCGGCTGCTGCAACATACTCGGCTTCGGTTGAAGACAGTGCAACAGAATCTTGCTTCTTTGATCCCCATGAGAAAATTCCCGAACCAAGCTTAAATGCGTAACCAGAGGTGCTTTTCATGTCATCTTGAGATCCAGCCCAATCACTGTCGCTATATCCAGTTAGTCGTGAGTCAGAACTTGTTTTGTACCAAATACCATAATTGATGGTTCCTTGTAGGTACCTAAGGAGTCTCTTTGCCACTCCATAATGAGTCTCAGTTGGACTTTCCATGAACCTCGAGAGCAAGCTTGTAGCATACATTATGTCCGGCCTCGTAGCCGTTAAGTAGAGTAGACTCCCAATCAAACTCCGGTAATTGGTAGCATCTGTTGGCTTTGACCCATATTCTTTCTTTAATTTCTCATTAGGAACCAACGGAGTAACGACGGCTTTGCAGTCTTGCATTTTGAACTTCTTTAGCATGTCCTTAATATATTTTTGTTGAGATAAGAAGATGCCTTCTTCTTCTTGACTTATCTCCATGCCAAGGAAGTAATGCATTAATCCCAAGTCACTCATCTCAAAGGTGTTCATCATGTCTCTCTTAAATTCTTCAATTAATTTTGAATTATTTCCCGTGACAATTAAGTCATCAACATATAGAGAGATGATGAGAATGTCAGTTTTACCTTGGGATTTGATGTATAGTGTAGCCTCGTTCTTGCTCCTCCTGAACCCTTGACGGGTGAAGTATCCATCAATCTTGCTATACCAGGCTCGTGGAGCTTGTTTGAGCCCGTAAAGTGCTTTCTTTAGACGAAGAACTTTTCCTTCTTCTTTGATGAATCCTTCTGGTTGCTCCACATACACTTCTTCTCTTAGTTCTCCATTTAGAAAGGCTGATTTAACGTCTAGCTGATAAATTTTCCATTTCTTTTGAGCTGCATGAGCTATGAGTGTTCTTATTGTGTCCATCCGGGCAACTGGTGCAAACGTCTCTGTGTAGTCAACTCCCGGTATTTGAGCATACCCCTTTGCAACCAGCCTTGCCTTATGCTTCTGAATTGAGCCATCAGGGTTAGTTTCGTTTTGTACTCCCATTTGACTCCAATAACCTCCTTGTTATGTGGAAGATCTACCATTTCCCAAGTATCATTCTTTTCTATCATTTTTATCTCCTCCTCCATTGCTTTTGTAACACTTGAGATTTAATATAAACGGATTAATAGTACTACTCATACCAACAGAGGTGCATCTCCTTTTAAGGGAGCTCATTACCAAAGAACTCCAAAGTTAAGCGTGCTTGCTCGGGAGTAGTCTTGGGATGGGTGACCCCCTGGGAAGTTTCTCAGGGCGTGCATGAGTGAGGACAAAGTGCGCGGTAAAGGCTTGTGGTGGTTTGTGAGGATAGTACTATTGGTCCGGAGTAACTACCTCGGGTCCGGTGGGGCCGGGGTGTTACAGGTAGTATCAGAGCAACCCGGCGACAGTGTGCCGATCCGTTTGATATCGGGCAGACACCTAGCAGGGGAAAAGTTTCTGGGATTTGATTGAGATTGGTTTAAGGACGCAACGAGGACGTTGCGATCCTAAGTGGGGGTGATTGTAACACTTGAGATTTAATATAAACGGATTAATAGTACTACTCATACCAACAGAGGTGCATCTCCTTTTAAGGGAGCTCATTACCAAAGAACTCCAAAGTTAAGCGTGCTTGCTCGGGAGTAGTCTTGGGATGGGTGACCCCCTGGGAAGTTTCTCAGGGCGTGCATGAGTGAGGACAAAGTGCGCGGTAAAGGCTTGTGGTGGTTTGTGAGGACAGTACTATTGGTCCGGAGTAACTACCTCGGGTCCGGTGGGGCCGGGGTGTTACAGCTTTAATCCAAACTTTTTCTTTGGAGGCTTCAGTGTAGCTATGTGGCTCCAAGGAACAAAAGTTGCATGTTTCATACATATCAGTAGACTCATATAGGTCTGCTAGAGTTCTTACCCGAAGGGGTGGAGATTCTGGCGAGGAGTCATGTTCGCTAGATGTATTCGCTTCGGAAGAGGATCTTGGAGTAGATGTGGGGCTCTGTTGATCTTCTTCTTCTGGGATTTCCTCTAGTTGGGTAGTAGTTGTCTTTCTTTCAACTCTTTCCGTTTCCCAATTCCAAGAGGCTTGCTCATCAAACTCCACATCTCGACTTGTGACTAGTTTCTTAGTCTCGAGATTATAGATTCGATATCCCTTGGATTTGGAGCTGTAACCGATGAAGATTCCCTTCTCTGTCTTGTCTTCTAATTTGTGCCTTTTAACAGAGGGAACATGAATGTAGCATATGCTTCCGAAGACCTTCAAATGTTTGGCTGAAGGCTTTTGTCCTGACCATGCCTCAATAGGTGTTTTGTTTAAAACCCCGTTAGTTGGACACCGGTTTAGAAGATAGACTGAAGTATATACCGCCTCTGCCCAGAACATTTTAGGCATTCCTTTTTCAGCTAACATTGATCTTGCCATCTCCATGACTGTGCGGTTCTTCCTTTCGGATACCCCATTTTGTTGTGGAGTGTATGCTACTGTTAATTAATGCTCCATGCCTTCATCTTCACAGAACTGGTCAAATTCTTTTGAGTCGTATTCGGTACCTCGATCGCTTCTCAACTTCTTGATTTGATGACCACTCTGTTTCTCCACGAAGTTCTTGAATCTCTTGAATATTCTAAAAACTTCGGATTTTTCTTGGAAGAAATACACCCATGTCATCCTTGAGTAATCATCGATGAAGAGTATGAAGTACCTGTTCTTGGAAACTGAAGGTGTGCGCATTGGACCGCAGACATCGGTGTGGACAAGCTCTAGTATCTGTTTGGCTCTCCATGTCTTCTCTGTTGGAAATGGTTGCCTATGCTGCTTCCCAACCATACATCCTTCACATACTCCTTCTTTTTCATCCAGTAGAGGCATGTCTCTCATCATATTCTTTTGATGTAGTAATCTCAAGGCATTGAGATTGAAGTGCCCAAATCTTCGATGCCACAGACTCGTATCACTCAGTTGAGCTACCATTGCCTTTTGTGGGTATTGCCATTGAATGGGAAAGTTTCTATTATTTCCCATTTTCACTTCAGCAATTTCTTGGTTATTTTTCTTGTCATAAATTCGACAAGAATTTTTCTCAAAATGTAGGGCATATCCACTTTCCATCATTTGGCCAACACTTAGTAGATTTTGTGCAAGGCGTGGCACTAGGAGAACGTTTCTAATATAGCGCGTACCTTTCTTTGTATCTATGACAATGGTACCTTTCCCGTTTGCCTCCACCAATTCGCCATTGCCCATCTTGACCTTTGTCTTGATAGAAGTGTCTAACTCATAGAAGATGGTTTCGTTGGATGTCATGTGATTGCTGCACCCACTATCGATGTACCACTCTTCTTCTTTTGCTTCCATTGCTGAGTGACATGCATAGAACATGTACTCCTTCTCCTTAAAATCTTCAGAATAGTTGGCCTGATGATTTCTTCTATCTCTGCAATCTTTTTCTTCATGCCCGAACCTCTTGCAATTTTTGCGTTGTGGCTTTCCTCGATGGTAGCAATCTTTCTCTAAGTGGTTAGTCTTCTTGCATTTTTTGCATGGTGGAAAGTTTGTCTTCCTCTCCTTGTTGTTAGAATTCCCATATTTATGAGATTTAAAGTTTCCATCATTTCTTGAGTCATTCCTTTTAATGTTGAGCTTAGATTGGAAGGCACTTTCTAATGAACTTTCATGTCGCCTGTTAAGCCTGTGCTCACGTGCTTCTAGTGACCCCATTAATTCAGTGATGGACATTTTTGATAGATCTTTTGACTCCTCAATAGACGAAACTACTGGATCATATTTTTCTGGGAGACTGATTAAGACCTTCTGGATTATTTTCTCGTCGGTTATGTTTTCTCCAAGAGTTCTCATTTCATTGACTATATGTATAACCCGAGAGAAATAATCTTTTGCCATTTCAGAATCTCTCATCTTCAAATTTTCGAACTCTCTTCTTAAACTTTGTAATTTAATAGTTCTAACTTTCTCATTTCCTTGAAATTCCTCCTAAAGAATATCCCAAGCTTCTTTTGCCGTAGTAGCACGAATTATTCTCGGGAAAATGGTATCACTAACGGATTGTTGAAGAAGATAGAGAGCTCTAGCATTTTGCTGCTTTTGTTTCTTACATATCTCGGAAGTTGATGCGTCGTCGCTTCCTTTTTCCGGAGTGATGATTCCTTCTTCAACAATATCCCAAAGATCATGTGATTCTAGGCAAGTCTTCATACGGACACTCCAATAGTCGTAGCTTTCTCCATTGAACATCGGAGTCCATACCGAAAAGCTTGATGTCGCCATAACGTCCGCTTATGATCGAACGGGCTCTGATACCACTTGTTAGAAAATAGAAGAGGTTGTTGGTGTATGAATATGTTAAGTGATTTTAGTGAGGTGTAGTGTAGAGGAGGTGTTTTGGAGTAGAGCTCTTGTCTCTAGAAAACTTGTAATTTTATTGATGTTGTTTGGTTTTGCTTAGTGAGCAAATGAGTACAATGAGTCCTATTTATAGGTGCTAGAGGATCATTCTAGATCCTTATTAAATGCTATGATTCTAGAGTATTCTACAACTATGTCTAATTAATCTAGATTTTACATAAGAATTCTCTAGTGGAGAATTCTCTAGAATACTTGTAGCTATATTTCTCTAGAACATCTCTAGCCTTTTCTACATAGAATATTCTAGATAAATGCATCACTATTTAATAAGTATACACTATTACTCCGTCGTAAAAACACTTACGAGCCTTATATACGAAGTATATGTGACTAGTATGTCTAGTCAATGATATTTAGGAGTATAAGATAATATCTTATACGAAGAGCACCTAATTCCTCTTGGTTTTAAGCTCAAATCGAGACTATTAAAACCCATTCGTTGGATGAAACCTAACAGAGGATTAAAGTTAAATGTAGATGCGGCTTTTCTACATGGCTCGGCTTCAGGAGTTGCGATTTTGAGATATCAAAGAGGAGAGTTGGTCTGCGCCTGTGCTTTTCCGATTGTTGCTTCTTCTTCCTTGGAAGCAGAACTTATTGCTGCTATGAGGTCAACCCGTTGGGCAATTGATGAAGGCTATCGAGGATTTCAGGTCGAGATTGATGCTGAGATTGCTCTTAGCTTGCTTTCAGGCGGATTCAACATGGCTAGGTCTGATGAAATTATCGAGTTCAGACAGATATGTTTTAGGAAAGGGATTTACTTCAGACACATTTTCAGGGAAGGTAATAGAGCAGCCCACTATCTCGCAGCTTACCATCCGGCCCGTTTTACTTCTTGGACTTCTGCCAGGTCCAGTTCGTATTGAATTTAATTGGCTAAAGGGTCAAATAGGTACATGAACTAACTTAAAGTGTTCAATTAGTCCCTTATATAGGAGGTTCTGCCCGGACGTCGCCAATTGGAGCAGTTCCCGGTGGAATTTTTTGATGAAATTTTTTGAGCATGTTCTTCATTAAGTCTAGTTTACCCGTACCAAATTTCAGCTAAAAATTCAACCGGGAAGGCAGTCAAATGTTTTTTTGAAGATAACTGTGCAGTTAAACATCGCAGTACATTTTGGAAAATCATTTGACTGCCTTCCCGATTTAATTTTTAACTGAAATTTGGTATGGATAAACTAGATTGAATGAAGAACATGCTCAAAACATTTCATCAAAAAATTCCACCGGGAACCGCCCCAATATGCGACGGCCGAGCAGAACCTCCTATATAAGGGGCTAATTGAACACTTTAAGTTAGTTCATGTACCTATTTGACCCTTTAGCCAATTTAATTTAGATTTATTTAACATTCCTTCTATTAGATGGCTTGTTTAATGTTTTTTCTTTTCAATTGGGTAAGGTTTGGTCCCCCCAATTGCTGTTGTTCTTTTCTGTTCTGGTATGATGTATCTTTGGGAGGTATGCATCCTTCGGAAAGGTTTTGGTCTAGTCCCCCTTTCCATTGTACTTTATTTGGTTATTAATAAAATCTGGTAAATGTTTCCCTACATTTACCCCACCGACTTAGGTGGTTTGCCTACCGGGTTTTAAAAAAAAATCAATGTTTGTGATTTCACGATACTCTTAATAGTTTCAAATAATAAATTTTATTTTTAATTGCATTAGTACGAGGATTAGAGGATAAGTTAATATTTCTAATTTAACCGTCACAACACAAATCGGCAACGATAGAAGGATGCGTGTATATTAGACATGTGTATATGTGTGTGCTATGTGTGTATATTTGATGTTAACGACCATTATATCCACCTTTGTGAATATTTTTTATCTGTTTAAGCAATTTTATTGATAAGCTAAAACTAATTAAAAAAGAATTTATATGAAGAATGAGCTTCGAACAAGAGCAATGAAGGAGATGACAAGTGAGTGAATAAGAATGCAAACTCGTGTATTATTCGAATGTGAGCCCCTCCTGATTACAATGAGGCTATCCTACTTATAGGAAAGGTAATTAAAGCCCTAATGATGACATTTTACGTTACTGACGGATCGATCGCACTTTATGACGATTTCAAATCTGTCATAAAGGTCGATCAATTACAATCAATACCTTCACTAATCATATTAAAGAGGCTAATAATACTTAAAGACGTTACAATAATTGTCATTAGGCCTTGTGAATGTTCCACCAGCTCGAGTTGTCCGTTATGGGCAGTTTGACTTGACGGTTCGGACCTGACGGTTTCACAACTTGTCATTAATGCTGGTCAGCTCAAATAAGTAACCTCCTGCCTTAATATCGTTATTAATTACAATAATGAACACAAATCTGTTACAACAGCCACCATTAAGCCTCATGAACGTATCATTAACTTCCGTGATCAACCCTCTTTAATGAAACATAAACCGTCAAATTCTTGATCTAACAATTGCCCCTTTTCGAGAAGTTGACGCGTACAATGCGCGAGTCAGACTGTTAAGCGGCAATTTGTCGAAACTTTACCGAGAGCTTCGTATCCTGATTCATTACGCCCATTGACTTGCCAACTACTTGTCGTGACATATTGATCAACTCGTGTGACGAAATGCTTCCGTCTTCCTTTGCACTAACCTTTGATCGAGCTTGTCTCCTTCACTAAAACAACGGAAACTGAAAGCTGACATGCTATCTTCTCCCCTCCAAAATTGCATTGACGACTAGATTACAGAAATTCGCAATATGTTTCATATTGATGTCGACAGTTTAGCTGTCAAAGGGAACATCGCCCGTCGTTGAGGATGACGAGATGGGTTGTGTGAACTTGGTTCATATCCTGCAAAAACTTTAAATAGCATTACGTTTGTCGTTTGTATTATCTCCTTATGTTGGAGCATGCTCTTTTGTGGTGTAGTTCTGTATTTTTTGTTGCACGTGCGTTGTCATATATGTTTTGGTTACACGTGCATTGTCATATATGTGTGTTGGTTTTGGCCAATATATATATATATATATATATATATATATATATATATATATATATATATATATATATATGTTGTAAGGGCTGGCTGGGACTATTATCCATGATCTTCTCATGGGCAGCCCAGCCCTTTCCCATTTGATGTTAGTGTATAATATGTAACTGACATGAGCATGGTTGAAATCTTAGTTGCTTCAGTAACTACTTGATCTTATGCTTTGAGATATTCCTGCATCCATTAAAAATCGTCAAAGCTGGCCGTTAGCTTTGGGCCAACGGCACTCCGATGGTTAAGTCAGTAAAAGCAATGAATCTATCTTGAAGCGGAAATGTATACTCTACACCGAATACGTCACAGCTTTCTCTAAACACGATGACCACATAATGTTTCCATAAAGGATCCAAGATTTATTGAACTCAAACTTAGAAATGAGATAAGTTACTGAGATTAAAACATGTACAAAATAATTCAAAGGAAATGCACAGATTGAACATGACGCTTTAACAGATTCGTTGTACTCGATACGTCATTGATTTCTAAATGAACTCACAAGGACCTGTGACGTATTAAAGTAACTTACTGGTGATGCTTCATTAAACTTGGCATCTTGTTTGATTTTCTGCACTCAAAACGTTGTTAGGGTTGGTCGTTGGCTTTAAGCCAACGGCCCTCCGATGATTAAGTTAGTAAATTGTCTTGAATAAATAAAACATAACAGATTAAAAAATGGAAAAATTTAAGGTGTACCGCATTCCAACTTCTAGGGACTTGTTTTCCCTCAATCGATTCCAGGCAATATGCCCCCTGTCCAACAATATCGACGATCTTGTATGGACCTTCCCAATTGGGGCTGAACTTCCCACTTGCTTCATTCCCAAACGCTCTTCTCAACACCCAGTCTCCTTTCTTAAAAACCTTTGCTCGAACGTTTTTGTTAAAGCTCTTGGCCACCATTTGTTGATAGGATTGTAGACAGATCTTGGCCCTCTCTCTGATTTCGTCAATGGTATCCAGATCATGTATCAATTCCACGTTGTTCCGGTCTTCGGTCATAAGCCCATACCTTGAGGACGGTACTTCTACCTCCGCTGGTATAACCGCTTCATAACCATAAACCAAGGAGAAAGGAGTTTGTCCGGTTGCGTTCTTTGGATTCGTTCTGTCAGCCCATAATATCAGGGGGAACTCGTCAGCCCATCTGCCTTACGCCTTTTCAAGTCTTTTCTTCAAATTGGACACAATGATTTTGTTGCTGGACTCAGCCTGTCCATTGGATTGCGGGTACCTAGGAGTTGACGTTTCCAACTTGATGTTGTACCTTTTGCAAAAGCGTCGGGTTTTTGCACTTATGAATTGGGACCCGTTATCACACACGATCTCTGACGGGATGCCAAACCTGCAAAGTATATTTCGTTTGATAAAAGATATTACCTGGTCATCACGTATCTGACGGAATGGTTCGGCCTCCACCCATTTTGAGAAGTAATCCGTCATTGCCAACATGTAAACCTTATATCCTAGAGCTTCTAGCAGCTTTCCAACAATGTCCATTCCCCGCTTCATAAAGGGCCATGGTGAAAGGACCAGATGAAGTGATTCAGAAGGCTGATGACGGATTGGTCCATGCTTTTGACAAGGCTGACACCTCTTGGTGAAAGTGATTGCGTCATATCTCATGGTTGGCCAATAGTATCCAAATCTGAGAGCTTTGTTGGACAAGCTTCTCCCAGCAGCATGATTTCCACATTCTCCTTCATGAAGGTCTCTTAGTACTTTGATGGCTTCTTGAGGTGCCAAACATCTTTGGTACGGACCTGCTTTGGACCTTTTGAACAGAACATCGTCAATTATTAGAAATTTAGTTACCTTGGAAAGAAATGTCTTAGCTTCCTTTTTGTCAGCTGGTAGGATGTTGTGTCTCAAATATGCAATGTATGGCTGCATCCAGTCATCTTGTGGGGACGGATTGACAGCACTGACGGATTCCGTTTTGTCAATCGTTGGACTTCTCAAGTGGATGACAGGGATGTTGTTGTTGATTTCTGACAGGGATGTTGTTGTTGTTGTTTTCCCTTGGCACTTGCTCAAAGGTGATTTCGTCGAACCATGTTGTCAATTCCATGACGACTTGTAAGTAAGACGTCATCTTGGGGTCCTTTGCTGCATAAACACCGTTAGTTTGATTAACTATTAACAAAGAATCGCATTTTACCTGGAGCATCTTGACGCCTAAATCCTTTGCCAATGTTAAGCCTACGATCAATGCTTCGTATTCCGCTTCATTGTTTGTGGCGTTGAAATCGCAATGTACCGCTTGGAGCATAGTGTCCCCCTGTGGTGACTTTAGTACTACGCCCAAGCCTGTCCCATTTAGATTTGATGCCCCATCAGTGTGCAATATCCACTTTTGTTGAGGCAAACCGTCCGTGATGAGACACGTCTCCTTTCCTGCTTCAGTTTGGAGCTTTGGACTAAAGTCCGCCACAAAATCAGCAAGCGCCTGAGATTTCAAGGCAGTCCTTGGCTCGTATCTGACGTCGTAAGCTCCCAGTTGAATTGACCATTTGGCCATGCGACCTGACAACTCGGGTTCCCTCATGATTGACTTCATGGGATAATTAGTTCGAACACAAATGGTATGCGATTCAAAGTAAGGACGTAACTTAATTGATGCAGTAATTAAGGCTAAAACAATTTTTTCAAGCAAAGTGTACCTGGTATCAGGGCCATTTAGCGACTTACTTATATAGTATACTGGCGTTTGCAATCCGCCGTCCTCTTTGGTCAACACAGCACTGACAGCATGTTCTGAAACGGCGAGGTAAAGCTGGAGCTCGTCGCCTTCTTTTGGTTTCGTCAGCAGTGGTGGAGTTGTCATATATTCCTTTAATTGCTGAAGCACCTGTTCATGTTGATCCGTCCATTCAAACTTTTTGTTCTTGCGAAGTACATCATAGAAGAGGCGACACCTATCGGATGACTTGGAAATGAAGCGATTCAGTGCCGCTACTCGTCCCGTTAGCCTTTGGACGTCTTTGACTGACTTTGGTGACTCTATGTCCAGAATGGCTCGGACTTGTTCTGGACTTGCTTCTATTCCACGCTCACTGATGATATAGCCCAAGAATTCCCCAGATGACACTCCGAAGGCGCATTTTGACGGATTGAGCTTTAGATTGTACTCTCTCAATTTCTTGAATGATTCCATCAAGTTGTCAATATGGTCCTCAGTTTTATGTGTCTTGACGATCATATCGTCTATGTACACTTCCATGGCCTTTCCTATCTGATCTTTAAACATCATAGTGACGAGTCTCTGGAACGTCGCACCTGCATTTTTAAGACCAAAAGGCATAACGACATAACAATATGTACCTGTTTCAGTAATGAAGGCCGTCTTCATAAACGAGAGCATCTCATGTCCAGCATTTGCATCAGCCAATACGTCTATGTGTGGCATCAAGAATGAATCTTTCGGGCATGCTTTGTTCAAATCGGTAAAGTCTACGCATACTCGCCACTTTGCCTTTTTGCCTTTTGGCGCTTTCTTCCTAACGAAAACAACGTTTGCTAGCCAATCCGGATACCTGACCTCCCTAGCTTTCCCGGTTTGGAGAAGCGCTTCGACTTC